GTTGTCGTTGTCGTTATCGTTGTCGTCGTTGTTGTTGTTCCTGAAGTGGGCGCAGCCACCACGAATCGGCTTCAGTATGCAAACCTTCACGGACAGTCTCGACCGTGGAAGACTTCTGCGGTCTTCCAGTGCATGCAAACATGGAGGTTGTTCGGCCATGTTCATTTCGACCTTAACTTCGCTGGACTGTTTTAACTGCGGTAAGGTTGGCCGCAGCCGTTTTGAGCCGGGGTTCATGGCTGAAGGTTTAGGGTTGCAGCAAGATCGGACAGCAAATGCTCGCAACTTCTACTCCGAAGCTCTGCCGCCACAAGTGCCCCGAGAAGGATCCCGAATGTAGTACGGTTTAGGGTTTAGTGTTTAGGGTAGATCCTCCGTCCCGAAATCCCCTGAACTCACACCATAGACCCTAAACTCTAAACCCTCCAACGCCTAGCATCCTAAACCCAAGACCGGAGAACCACAGCCCCACTTCCCCGAAGGGGGATCGGACAAGCCTTAAGCTCGCTTTCAACATCTCATGTAGGAAGCCCTCAAGCCCTAAACTCGAAACCCTAAACTGTAAACCCCAAAGCCACAAGATGCAAAGTCTCTCCATCCCAAGAGCATTCGGAGCTGAGGCAGTCGTCTTCAAGTGGCTACTCATCGGGCAAGTCCGACCGGGGGTTATACCGCTGTGGTCACCGTCCTACTACAGGTGTCTTGGACTGTTGCTGCACCGCACGCCTATGCCTCGAAGCCTTGGAGCCCCCTCTACCCCACATGCTGGTGCAGCAGGGATTAGGGTTTGGGGTTAACGGACAGCCCTCATGATGGTGCTGATCCACAATGACAGATGCACGGAGGGGTGCGATGTAGAATATCCAGCAAGTTGGGCTACATCTTTATCGGCACTGCCTGAATCATTCTCTGATCATAACTTCCGATTCTCGAGCCCAAAGCCCTAGTCGAATCATTCTCTGACCATAAGTTTCGCATACCAGAATCCAAAACCCTAGTCCAACGACAACCCTAAACCCTGAACCCCAAACCCTAAATTAAACCCTAAACCCTAAACCCTAAACCCTGAACCCCACACTCTACGTTACACCGGCGAAGATTCAAGTCGAATGATGTCAGCCTTTCGAAGCCGGGCTATCGACAAGCGCTGCGCAACCCTCGCCTCTAAACCCTAAGCCCTGATCCCTAAACCACCCTCTTAGTGGTCTAGGGTTTGGGGTTTTGGGTTTTGAGTTTCGGGTTTAGGGTTTAGGGTTTGGGGCCTGAGGGACGTAGACCGGTGTTCCACGTGGCTGACCTAAGCCCTCAACCCTCATTCCTAAACCCTAAGCCCTCAACTTTGACCCCTCAAGCCTGAGCCCTAAACCCTCAACCCTAAACCCTCAACCCTAAACCTTCTAAACCCCAAAACGGTGTTTCCAGGTGGCTGACCGTGTACAACTTGTTCCAGAGCTTGGATGGATTCCTGGCCATGTGGGGACGCCCGGATCGACCAACAGCACGCCAGAGAGACCGAGAGAGCTCACGTAGGGTATGTTAGGGTTTATAGGGTTTGTAGGGCTTATAGGGTTTATAGGGTTTATAGGGTTTATAGGGTTTCTAGGGTTTCTAGGGTTTCTAGGGTTTATAGGGTTTATAGGGCTTATAGGGCTTCTAGGGCTTCTAGGGTTTCTAGGGTTTCTAGGGTTTATAGGGTTTATAGGGTTTATAGGGTTCCTGCTAAAGGATTTAATTTAAGTTACCATTATAGGGATCTATAGTAAATAATATGGTTTCCTTATTATAGTAACTTAAATTAATCCTTTAACAAGAGCCCAGCTTCTATCACAGATGTGTATATATGTATGCATACGCATACATTTATGTCTTGTGTTTTAAAACACGCACATACATCTGCCTGCATCTATCTCTACATTGACATGTTTCTGTTGAGCTTTCAGTAGCTGCTGCTTCTCTCACTGCCCATCTGTCCGGCTGTCTGTCCTGTTTATCTGTCGACTGGTACACAGGCGCATAGAGAGGTACATCTAAGCCCTAAAGCCACAACCCTAAAACCCTAAACCCTAACCTACAACCCCGAAACACTAAACCAGCCAGAGCCCTAAAACCTTGAGGGTTTGGGGTTTAAAGAGCAAGTATTAGAATTCCTCGAGTTGGGGTCATGTCGAGTTTCTAAAGCATTCTGTGCCTTCCTTCATCTGCATGTCTTCGTAGGGCTCTCAGGCTTACCGTATAGGGGGTGGCAGGGCTCAGGGTCCATGGCGGAGGGGTTCGACTTCGGGATTATTCGAACACAGAGAGCCCAATACCCCTTATTTGTGTGAGTTTCTAAGCTTCAGCTTCATGAAACATTCAGCTGTTGCGTCTCTGCATACATTTTGCACTACGAAGGCCGTACCGCAGGAATTCCTTCGGCCCAAATCTTTTGGCTACTAGCTAGCGAATCCACTTAAGGTGGAGTCATCTGCGAGCCATAGGCTTTTCTGAAAGGGCGGCCTCAGACTGCGAGAGACTCTTGAGGAGCTGACGCAAAAGGTACGAGACCGCTGCGAACTTTTCTGCAATCAGTTTCTTTGGCTGCACCGAGCTATCACTGAAGTTGGTAGCGGAGCGCGATTGGCGCTCGACAGTTTTCATGGCCGATGAGAAAAGTTTCCTCCAGAAGGTCAGCTGGGACGGCGCCCCGGAGGGGTGGCCGGACTTCGTCCGACGCGTCAGGTTGATCTTCGAGCGCACCAAGCGCAGTCGTCGCCACCTCCTGGCCCCGGAAATTGTCACGAACCTTACCGGCCGTGCCTGGAACATTACACAAGACCTAGATCATGCTGCGCTCGTGCGGAGGAATGGCACTATATATCTCCTCGAGTTTCTACGTGACAGATTGGGGAAAAACCCCGTACCAGACGTAGGTCTGAGACTCGAAGAACTCGTCATCCGACTCAAGAGACCACCGGGGATGGCAATGGCTACATGGTCGAGCAACGTTCGACAGGTTTACAGAAGGGTTCAAGTTGCCCTGGCTCGAGCTCGAAAGGACAAGAAGGGTTCACCCGAGAGCCCTGCTGAGGATTCCAAGCCGCGCGGACTCCGGAATCCTGCGGAGGCTACTCCGACACCTCCGAAGTCGACTTCGAGCTCTCCAACCCGTGCGAAGAAACCTGTCGAAGCAAGTGCCCCTGAGCCCCCCGAGGATGACGAGACCTTCCCCGAGGACCTGGGTGAGGACCTCGACCCAGGAATCCGCGGAGATCGCGGGTGGCGTCGACGTCGCAAGGACAGCGACAGCGACGATTCAACGAAAGCTCTCGAGGACCTCAGGCTTTGGGAGTCCTACGAGGAGGCCGTGGAGGACGTGTTGCCCTCGGAGCTGCTTGGCTGGTTGCTGCTCCGGAGAGCAGGTTTGACTACGCAATCCAGGCTTGCCGTACAAGCAGCGGCCGGCAACAGTTTGCGCTTCGAGGACATCGAGCGCGGCCTCCGGAATATGGAGGAGGAGCTCTCCACTCATGATGACTCTCGACGAGGCCATGGGAACCGTGGAGCAAGGACCTTATGGGTTGAAGAAGATGGACACTGGAGTATGTGTCTTATGGCCGAGCCCGATGTTGATGAGATTCTTGAGAACCAGGAGGTGCTCTACCTCGGCACCCAGCTCCCTCACGAGGTCTACGCCACCCAGGCTGCTACGGACAACTCCGGATCTTGGAGCGAGCCTGAGAATGGCTTCTGGAGCACCGAGGATGATGGCAGCTGTATTTGGTGGCAGGATTTCGGTGATGGAGATTATTTCCATGAAGACGCCTCCGGTGTCTTCTGGAGCTGGAACCACTCGCATAAGGATGACTTGGGCGACCTCTCGCCTGAGCAGCAGAGAGAAATCGAAGATGCCTTTAGTGCTGCTGAAGCCAAGGTTCGGACCTTCACCCAAGCCCGACAAGCTGTCAAGGCGAAATCGCTGAGCCGTGGCTTTTATCCTTTCAATCCTTCCATGAAAGGACGCAAGGGCAAGGGCAAGGGCTTCGGAAAGTCGAAAGGGAAGGGGAAAGGATCGAGTTTCGGTCCAAGGCCTACCCCACCTGTGCTCTACCACCAAGGCGAGGCTTTTGCTGTGGGCCCGGGAGACCCAGGGTTCACTGGCTGCTTTATTTGTGGTCAGAAGGACCATTCCTTCAGGCAGTGCCCAAAGCGCATTCCGCAGCATAAGGGTGGTAAGGGCAAAGGCAACGTCCTGTACCATGGCACAGCCTTCATGATTGAATCCGAGAATGCCCCTGAGCCCCTCAATGTGCAGTCTGATCCGGACGCTGTGCTCCTTCAGACCTCTTCCGACCCTGAGAATGCAGGCTTTGGCATCATCGATTGCGGGGCCACGGAGACAGTCGGGTCCCTACCAGCGTTGGAGAGTCTTATGCAAGCTCGGTTTCAGTTGAGTGGAAGGACTGAGGAGGTAGAGGTTTCAGCCGCGCCTCCTAAGAGATTCAAGTTCGGGAATGGAACTTTCAGTATGTCGTCGTCATGTGTGCTTGTTCCTCAGAGCGTTGGTGAGTTGCAACTTCGACTTCAATTGTACACCTTGGATTGTGAAGGTGTCCCAATCTTGATCTGCATGCGTACTCTGAGGAGATTGAAGGCCGTAGTTGATTTTTCCAAGTGCTTGGCAATCTTTGTTGCAGTCAATCCTAATCTTGCTATTCCACTTCGTCGAAGCAAGACCGGACATCTTCTGATTGACCTACGGGGAGATTGGATGCAGCAAGGGTTTCGCATGGACGACATACCACCTCACCTTCAGCTTGATGATGAACAAGAAGAAGAAAATTTCGTTGCCAGTGTGTATGGAGCTTTCCCAGAGAGTGAGCCGCATACTGATCGTGCATGTCCTCAACCTTCGACTGTTTGTGCAGACTCTCATGTATATCATGGTGAACCAGCAGCTCAGAGCTCAAGTGAGATGAAAGCATCATTGGGTGCTTTGGCATCCCTGGTCGCCTTGCACTTTCATGGCCGCGACGCCGCCTCAACAATCCCTCCGCTCCTCGGAGCCTCCTTCGAAGGCAGGCGCCCCGAAGGCCAGTGCGAGCAAGGTGAAGACCAAAAAGCCGTCACCTGTGGAGAGAGATCTGGATTGGCCTCGGGCCGAACGAGCGGATCCACGGGATCCCAGGACCTTGGGCCCACCGTGCAATGGGCTTCACCAGGAGGCCCTTCCAGGACGGGGAAGCCCAAGTGGAGCCAACGGCCATGCCATGTGGAGGGCATGCCGAGTGTGCGGACTCCGGATCCTCTATGTGCCTCGGATCGGAGCGCATGGGCTATCTCGCAAGGCGGGACCGCTGAGCGCCGACACGGCTCAGGCAGTCAAAGAGTTGCCTCCGGAGCAACTCCAGGACAAGCGCATTGGGCTCCGCGCCGCAGAGCAGTCAGCCTTGAGACGCCTCGAGCAGGTCAGGCGCCTGCGTCAAAGCCTCCCCGAGCCGAGTGTCACAGAGCCAGCTGTGGTGATCGAAGGGGATCTGGATGGATATCCCGACAATCCGAAGCCGGCTCTGGAGTACCAGGACCTTCGGACCCTGTCGAACGACGACCGGAAGCACGAACCGGGACCTCCAGCGAAGTCAGCGGCACCGATGCCAAAGGGTGCTGCCCCGAGCAACGGTGCGGTGGATCTCACCGACGAGCAGATGCCTCCCCATCCGGGGAGGAAGTCTCGGAGAGAGGTGCAGGCGGCGGAGGAGCTGGAGTTCCAGAGTCGAGACACGCCGAATGGCCAGGGCGTGGAGGAGAATCTTCTGTGAGTGCTGAGGCAAATATCCTTGAGTTTGATCCTGATCCAGTGTTTCCTCCTAGTCTTGAACCCGATGCGGAGGCATGCTGGATGGCCCGGGATGACAAGATGCAGATCGAGGCCCAGGCCAAGGATGCCTGTCACAGAGCAGTGTTCACTTTTTCCATGCTCGAGAAGATTCTCATGTTGACCTTTGAGTGTGCAAAAGGCAAGTCCCGTAGCACGGTCCATAAGTCCGAGGGAAAGATTTGCAATCACCTCTATGGCTTCTATGTGTTCGGTGGCTTCTCTGGTATTACCAATCGCACCCAGGAGTTCCCCGAGGTGACTCGATATCTAAATTCTTTCACACATGCTCACTTTCCTGAACATGTGTGGACTAGCCTACAAGTGAACTTCAACAATACCATCCGACCACATCGCGACCTCCATAATCGCCTAGGAAGCCAGAATCTTCTTCTATGCTGTGGCGACTTCGAGGGAGGTGAGCTGTGGGTGGAAGGTGAACCGTTGGAAGGTTATCCTGTCACCCGTCGTCGAACTGAGGATGGGAAGATACACCGTGGTCAGATCTTTCCTACCCGAGATCGCGGTGTCTACTTTGATCCTCGAGCTCTCCATGCCACCCAGCCTTGGAGGGGTTTTCGAATCAGTGTGTCAGCCTTCTGTGTACGTGAGCCTCGGACTGTGCCCAGAGATGAAAGTCGCTTCCTTCGTGATCTGTGGTTTCCGAACCCTTTTCAAGCTTCTGTTCACCAGGTCACAGATATTTCGGAGACGGACCGCTACGACCAGGATTCCCATGTCTTCAACTTGGAACCGGCTCAACGTCGACTTCTTCATGATGCTTACTCAGAATGGTCTGAAGACGTTCAAGGGATTATCAATCAAGTTGCTAGGCCCTCCTATGAGTATCAGGTAATCGAGCTGTGTGCCGTGCCGGAGGGGATGTTTGAGAATGTCATGAAGAAGCATCAGGTTCCCATTTGCAATGTGAACGCACAGGGTAGAGCCTCTCTCAAGTCTCAGGCTGGGATCCAGAAGACTGCTTGTCTCTTGGAACAACATCACGCACCCTGGTTATGGTGGCATGTTCCCCAAGGACCGCAGTCTCAATTATGCACTACCAAGGGACTGGGTGATCGACAGCTTGACCCCGGAAAACTTCAAGTGGATCCTGTGCGGGAACCTCGCAACTTCAAGAGTTTCCGAAAGGCAGTTCAGAGTGGACTCATGTTCATGAATCAGCAGTTGAAGCGAGGAGGGAGTGTGTGCCTTGAATGCCCTGTTGATTCTGCTGTGTTTCGACTACCAGAATTCAAAGGCTTTCTTAATATGCTGGCCCGACAGGGAATGATGTATGTGACCCGGACCAAGAACCACAAGGTGATCTGCACCTCCTCCGTGATGTCTAAAGTGCTTCATGTTGAGTCCAACCAAGAGCTACCCGAAGTGTATCACCGCGTTTCCGCCCTCTTCTCAGGTAAACATGATGCCTTCTTTGAGGGCGAACCGGTTTTCACTGCGGATGCCTCCGAGATCCTTCAGGACCTTGATCTGAAAGAGTTAGAGTCTCTTACGCACATTGCCATGCAGTTGCATCGCAAAATGGGTCATCCCGGAAACAGACTTTTGGTTCGAAATTTGAAGGCGCGTGGAGCAGATCAGAAACTGTTGGCTGTGGCATCACAACTCAAATGTGAAGAGTGTTACGAGGGACAGTTCAAGAATCTTCAACCAGTTGTGAACCTCGAGAAAGAAGACACTCTGTGGGCCACTGTGCAGATAGATGCGTTCACGATGAAGATTGCAAAAGCTGTGTGTCATTTCATCTTGTATGTCGACGAAGCTTCGGGATATGCGGTTGTAGATGAGATCATGCGACATCCAGCAGACAGCAACGAGAACATAAGCACAGCCCAGTTCCTCAAATCCCTGCACATGAGATGGATTCAGTATTTTGGGATACCCACCGTGATCAAGTTGGACTTGGAAGGGGCGTTCCGTGGAATCCAGTTGAGAGACTGGTGTGGAACAAGGGGAGTGCGTTTGGAGCATGCCCCAGCGGAGTTCCATCAGTCAATTGGGGATGTTGAGAGGCAGATTGGCTTCTTGAGACACAAGATAGAAGTTTTCCTTCGTCATGAGCCACACGACCCATCAATTGTTGCTGCTTCCATGGTTGGAGCACACAACCACCTGGCAAGAGTTCATGGATTTTCTCCTGCACAATGGGCCTTAGGTCGAGACCTGCAAGCTTCTGGCCATGCCAATCCTGGACCAGGAGAGGATGTTGCCATCGGTACTATGAACACATCAGGTACCGACTTGCATTCGTCAATGGTGCTGAGAAAACGGGCCGAACAGGCTTTTCGAGAGCAGCGGGAGAAAGACCTTGCCTCCCGAGCGCTGAATGCTCGAACCCGGAGCAGTGAAATCTTCACACCGGGAGATTTGATATACTACCGTCGACTTAAAGAACCGGCTGACCAAGCAGCCAACTCGATCGTCGACAAATCGAGAATGAGAATAGGCCGCTTCTACGGACCGGGACGGGTCCTTGCCAGCGAGACCAAGGTCGAGCCGGATGGGAGAAAGGCCTCACATATGATCTGGATCATCAGCCAAGGGCGCTTGAAAAAGTGCCACTCTTCACAACTCCGTCATGCGACGGAACAGGAGAGGTTGATCTCCAAGGCCTTTGAACAACAATCTATGCCATGGACCTTGTCGGCTTTGACCAGGCTTTTGGACAAAGGAGAATACGATGATGAAACGGTTCCTCCACCATCCGAGCGGAAGCGAGGGAGGAGCCGAACTCCTGGAAGAGCTGCATCTCGAGGCAGACTCCCTATGAATGAAGACCCGGAGCCATCTGTCCCTGAACCTCATCTTCCTCCTCCTGACGCTGAATCTGAGCCCGAGCTGATTCCCGTACCACCTCCAACGACCTCACGGTCGCGGAGTCCAGTGCCTCCAACCCAGGACTATGAGGAGCCTCCAGTTCCGGCACAGAGTTTGGTTGTTGAGGATTTGTTGCACGACGTGAACTATCTTCCTTCGTTTTCTGGACACCAGTGGACAGCGAGACCTCGCAAGGGAAACCGAAGGATGCGCCGTGGGTTGCAACAAACGGCCTTGGACAAGGAGGAGGCCGAACAGTCCGTGTTCTCGGTTGTGATCGATGCTCCGGACTCTGAAGAAGGGTGGAAAAGAATAGTGAAAGATCCACGAAAATTTGTTTCTAAGTCCATCCAGAAGGGCGTGGAAGTCAACTGGCAGAAACTGTCTCCAGAACAACAAAGGGCGATGGCAGAGGCGAAAGCGCTTGAAGTTGACCAGTGGATCTCGACCCAAGCCTGTGAGGCGGTGCGCCATGTGGTTCCGGATTCCCAACTTCTCCGAATGAGATGGGTTTTGACCTTTAAAAGTGCTGGCAGTGACACCGCGAATGCCAGCAAGATGAAAGCCAAGGCGCGCATAGTTATCCTTGGATTCTCTGACCCCCACTTGCTTGAAGTCGAGACAGCATCACCAGCAATGTCTCGGTTGAGCAGACAACTTTTCCTGCAGATGTGCTCTACCCGACGGTGGAGAGCACTGAAGGCAGACGTGAAAAGTGCGTTCTTGCAGGCTGAACTTGCAGAGGCGATGAACCTGAGACCTCAAGATGCTGTACAAATTGTGCGTAGCTGTTACGGTCTCTGCAGCGCCCCAAGAGAATGGTATCTTGATGTTCATAACACTTTGACGCGTCTCGGTGCAGAACGTCTTGTTTGCGACCCTTGCATGTGGCGAGTATGCCGTCAGGACCGAGACAAGAAGATCGTCGTGGGCATCATCACCAGCCACGTGGACGATTTTCTCCTCGGCGGCGAGGAAGACGATGATACTTGGAATACTTTCGTCGAGGCTTTCCATGCTGCATATAAGTGGTCACCGTGGGAGGCCACAGACTTCAGCCATTGCGGTGTGAGAGTAGTCCAGCATGAGGATTTCAGCTTCAGCCTCAACCACTCCGAATTCTGCGAGGACCTCAAGCAGATTCCTGTTCCTCGAGAAGAGAGGCCCATGTCCGAATCCGAGATGTCTCAGGTACGTGCAGTGCTTGGCTCCATTCAATGGAGAGTATATCAATCAGGTCCGCAACACGCCTCAAAACTTGGATATCTTCAGAGCCTGTGTGCCACTCGTGACTCGTCTGTGATACCAGCAGTGAATAAACTAGTGCGTGAAGTTCATTCCAGCAAGCATGTGAGCGTTGGAATTCAGCAGTTGGGACCTTGTGATCCCTCTGAACTTTCCCTGGTGTGCTGGTCAGACGCGGCACTTGCTAATAGGCCGGACCTTGGATCGACTGGTGGCTATGTGGTGGCCTTTATGACCCAAGCATCCATTGATCGGGGCAATGGGAGGTTGAATTTAGCTTCGTGGCGCAGCAGCAAGTTAAGTCGTGTTGCGCGCTCCAGCTTAGCTGCCGAGACCCAAGCCCTTTCTGATGCCGAGCAAGAACTCATGTTCACTAGGCTTCAATGGCGAGAGCTTCAGGGTGATGCTATCAACCTCTCCAAGAGCTTCGAGAGCACCCGCAAGACTGCCGGTTACCTGGTTATCGATGCTAAAGCTGTTTATGACACTCTCATGAAAGGCCAGATTGCATCGGCAGGCTATAGTCTTCGAGATAAATATTCAGCTTTAGAACTCCAGGCCCTCAGTCAACACATCCAGGAGCAAGAGACAACGCTCCTTTGGTGCGATTCAGACCATCAGTTAGCGGACGGCATGACGAAAAGCCAGAAGCAGGATTGCATCAAGAAGCTGTTGCTGTCTGGTGTGTGGAGGTTGAGATTCGATGATGCCTTTATTAGTGCCAAGAAACGCCGAAGCATGCTGGCGTCTGAAGACTGATTTTTCAACTCGGCCATCCGACGTGCTCCATGTATAGTCTTTGGGGCATGTGAGTTTCTAAGCTTCAGCTTCATGAAACATTCAGCTGTTGCGTCTCTGCATACATTTTGCACTACGAAGGCCGTACCGCAGGAATTCCTTCGGCCCAAATCTTTTGGCTACTAGCTAGCGAATCCACTTAAGGTGGAGTCATCTGCGAGCCATAGGCTTTTCTGAAAGGGCGGCCTCAGACTGCGAGAGACTCTTGAGGAGCTGACGCAAAAGGTACGAGACCGCTGCGAACTTTTCTGCAATCAGTTTTCTTTGGCTGCACCGAGCTATCACTGAAGATTTGAGGAATATACCTTAAATCATAATATTAAGGCCCCTATAATTTGAGGTATATTATTCCTTATTTAAGGGGTATTGGGCTCTCTGGGAAATGGCGAGCCTCGTCTGAACCCAATACCCCCTTAATTAAGGAATGCACCTAAAATTCTAGGGGCTTTAATAATATGATTTAAGGTATATTCCTTTGTATTGGGTTCTCTGGGCTACAGGCTGATGCATGAACTGGAACCTGCCGACAAGACCGACACGTTTTTCATCTTCAGACTAAAACTTCAAAAAAGCCGTACTGATAAGGAGCATAGCAACACCATGAACAGCGGTAGGCACGTTTCGAAAATTGCTTAGTTCGCGCCGATGATGGCAATCCTGAAATAAATGCGAGTATGGCCATGACAACAGCATCCAGGAATAATTCTAGTTACAATGGTGCCGATGATGCTGCTACTGCCATTAGCTGCGGAAATACAGATATACTGGCTTCTTGCAAACTAAACTGTCATCGATCTCCAGCAAGGGTCGTGCAACATTGCCGTCCATACGGGGGTCCTGATCAGGGACCAGATCGCTGCTGAAACATCCAAAGTAATAGACACTTGCCAAGCATACAACCCTCGTAAACTTTGAGAAAGCAGTTTAGGTGGAACTCTGACAATGAACAGCCACAATCCCGAGCCCCCCATATCCTGAACCCTGACAATGCCCTGCTCTAATTTGAAGCATCCCAACTCTTTGGACCGCAGGTTTAGAGGAACACCCATGCTGACCTTCTTTTACAACCGCCGGGGGCCTAGACTGAGGATCGGGCTTCGGAGGGCTTGTGGGGTTTGTGGCCCGAAGGATGCAATTTGTGTGGTGTTAGTTGTCTGTTCTAGGAAACTCCCTCATGAGTGCAGCAGTTAAAGTCAGCAGCATCATCATCATCATCATCGTAGTCTTCTTCTTTTCTTCTTCTTGAACATGCCCCTCGTGCTCGAAAACCCCGACTAAAGACCCTCGGCCCGACGTTTGCAGCACGGAAGCGCCGAAAGCAAAACGGCAATCAACGACCACCTCGTCACTTTGAGGAAAGAGCGCCCAAACCCTGCCTGAACCCCAAACCCTAAGCTTACCTTATTTCAGGGCGTCAGCACTGAGCACAAAGTCTTTATCCCTGGTCTTCTCGGGCTTTGGTTTGGTGTGATATCGTCAGTCATGGGGTTTATGTGGTGGTGGTGAATCCCGCTTCAAGGTCTCCCGTAACCATCCCTCAGCCGAACTTGGCGTTCCAAACCCAGCTATGGTCGACAGAAAAGAGGGCTCATCAAACAAAAAAGCCCCTAAACCGCAAGCTCCTCGTCACTTTGAGGAAAGAGGGCCCGCACCCTGAACCCTAAGCCCTAAACCCCCCAAACTCCTCGTCACTTTCAGGAAAAGCGGGCCCCTCCCCGGGAGTTTCGGGAGTTCTCTGAAGAAAGCGGCAGGGCCTCTGTAGGAGCCGCGCTACGCCGTAAGGGTTTACGCACAGACAGAGGCCAGAAAAGTTTCTATCAGGATGCCTTGGGGTTTAGGGTTTAGGNNAGGGGTTAGGGTTTAGGGGTTATGGTTTAGGGTTTAGGGTTTAGGGTTTAGGAGTTAGGGGTGTAGGTAGATTCTGCACAGAAAGTCTGCTTAAGGCGGACCTACGTTTGTAAGGACTTATAGAAAAAGAAAGCATTATAAGGAACCCTAAAAAGGTGGGTTCTTTAGGGTCCAGGTAGGGTGTAGGGTTTAGGGTCCCTTGATAGAAGATGTAATTAGAGTACATTCTCTCCCCCAATACCCTCCTCCCGACTCTTGAGGCCCTTGTATGATCATGTTGGGACGACGCAGGAGCGGGATGGGCTCTTAAGAATCAGAAGTTTCTTTGGGGTGGGGGGGTGGGGGTAGGGTTTAGGGTTTAGGGTGTAGGGTGTAGGGTTTAGGGTTTAGGGTTTAGGGTTTTGGGGGGGGTATATCAGGCTTAAAGAAAGTATACGTACTAGCATGAAAAGAGATTGTTAGGTGAGCGGAACACTTATGATTCTGACCTGTCCTTACGGGTCCTTGTGCCAGGGCTTCAGCAGTTCACGAAGTCGATGCTTAACTAGGTGGCAATTAGGGAAACTTTAAACTTTGCCTTATGGTTTCTAAAGAGGTGCCTATTCATAAATACTTTTCAGGGCCCCAAAACTACAACCCAGTTAAGTAAGCATTTTCAGAAGCCCAGGTTGCGGCGCCCACATTTCCTACCAGGCCGAGCTACACACATCGTGACTTGGCCAACGAAGGGGTCGGAAGAATCACCGATACTAATCCTTGCACTTTCTCATGACGTTATAATCAGGGTAGTTCTCTACATTGGGATCCCTGTTAGGGTCCTTTTTTTTTTTTATCAGTGTGCCGTACTATATTGGGGACCTAACAAGGGACCCAAATTCAGAGAACTACCTATGTGTCCCACATCCCGATTGCAATCCATGAGGCCCCTCTACTGACACCCTACCAAACCCCTTGCAGAGGCTAGTACGGTTGATGACATATATCCTGCATTACCCATAAGGAATGTGCCAGAATTGGGGGTTTAGGGGTTTTCGGGGGTTTAGGGGTTTTCGGTGTTTTAGGGGTTTGAGGGTTTGGGGTTTATTGTTTTGGTGTTTAGGGTTTAGGGGTTTGGGGTTTAGTGTTTAGGTTGGGGTTTAGGGTTTCACGCTTGAGTGTTTAGGTTGGTCGCGTTTCTAAATCAATGGAGGTTCATGGTGGCCGTTTATTCAGGGTTCTACAACAAATTCGGGAGAGGGTTTAAGATTATGGGAGTTATCTTGTATCGTGATAGCCCTAAACCCTAAACCCTAAAACCTAAAGCCCTAAACCGTAAATGTCCCGGAATTTCCAAGGAATCTGACGGACCTGGATCTGCTCCGAATCCGACAAGGCTGGAGGGGTTGTGGTTGAAAATTGCGAATTTAAGGCTTGAAGGGTTTAGGGTTTCAACATGAGTTTAGGGTTTAGGGGTTTAGGGTTTAGGGTTTAAGGCTTGAAGGGTTTAGGGTTTCGATACTTTTGATGATAAAAATCCTGCGTTACCCTTAAGGACCCGAAGCTATGGGAGTTGTTCTATACTCTGTAACAAACGGGTCATGCAGGGTTTCTATCATCAACCGTATGAGTTTGTCGTTAGTTAAGCTTTAGGAAAGTAAGTTTGGAGTTTGGGTTCTGCATGGGCAGGAGCTGCTTATCAGCTTTCAAGGCTCTTTTCAACTTTAGTTTCGCACGCAGTTCTAAGGGTTTAGGGTTTTGGGTTTAGGGTTTAGGATGTGAGATTCTCCACACTCAAAGCTTAGGTTGTACCCTAAACACTGAACCCTAAACCCTAAACCCTGAACACTGAACTCCTCGACCCTCAACCCGTACACTCTGTGCCCTCAACCCAGTTGCCGGAACCCGAAGCCCTACACTCTGTAGAACTGCAGTGGCGTAGTGTAGGAACCTGATTAAGAAACCCTGACCTTTAACCCCCATATATTCGGATCCATGCTAAGAACCCTGATAGTGATCCAGAATTTGTGAATCAGGTTCCTATCTTAGATCCCAAGTAGAACCCCTATAGATCCCTTAAAGGAGCCCTTAAAGGAACCCTTATAGTGCTCCAGGGTTTCTAAAGCAGGTTCCTACATTTGTAATGGCGCTGCGCCTTGGAGGGCTGTCTCCTGGTTTCAGCGCGCATGAGGTTTCGAAGCTTCAGGTCGACGTAGGGGTTTGGGATTGGGGCTTCGAGACTCGGGCTAAGGGTTTAGGGATAAGGGTCGAGGGACCAGATTTTCAGGATAACTGTTTAGGGGTGAGGGTTTAGGCTAAGGGATGAGGCTGCAAGGGTTATGTAGGGTTTAGGGATAGGGGTTTTAGGGTTTAGGGTTCAGAGGGCTCGCGCGTTCAGGTCTTGGCAATGGGTTCATGCAGGGTGGGTCTTAGGTGAGGGTGTTAACAGGAACCCATTCTGTGCAGATTAGATCGGTCCCGCGCTTACGGGTTCTGATATGAGGGCCTCAACCGTAAGATTTGGATTTTGTTAACTAGTAGGTGGTACCTATATACCTGTGCTGCAGTTTTTCAGGTTGCCATATCGTGGATTGAGACGAGTTCTGCGGGATTTTGCAGGCTGCCATAAGGGGATGCTTCGCGACCAGCCGGGTCGCCCAATGCTCCATGTTGGGGATGTGAGCGTTCCTCAACCTCCGGCTGTGCCTCCGCCTCAGCCGTTACCACCTGCACCGCAGCCGCGTGGGCAGGAAGAAGTTCCGCGTGGGCAGACAGAAGCCGAGAGGAGTTTTCGACTTCCTGCTCCGAAAGCATCGGCGCCTACCCCATCTCAAGGATCTCACGAGTCCCCGGACTACGAGTCGATTGTAGAAGCAGCCCGTTCGGCAATCGCCGAGGCGGAACAGACCCTCTGCTGAAGCAATGTGCTTGGTGCGGAGATGAAAAAACGGTTATTGTTGAGCTTGGCTGGCATGACTCGTGGCATGTTTCTTGGCATGTTCCTGAGCATGTTTGGCATGAATTTGGCATGAGTGTGAGCTTGATTTGTGCTTGCTTTGGAAGCCTAGGAACCCAAGAAGCCCCCCAATGCCTCCAAGCTCCTCCCTCTGTCCCAAGCCTCCTTTGCCTTCCTAAGA